CTAGGAACAAGTGCTATCAATGACTCGAGTTTTTCATAGAATTTGTCCTTTGCCTCATCAGTATTTGCATATGCACTGATGTTTCTTGTCTGAGAGAGAAAGCTACAATGTATGAAGTCTATCATTGACACCTTTTGGCAAGTATTCAAGGTTTCTTACTAAGTTGGACTTAATGGCAAAGCCTACTCCAGCTTCACGACCTTCTTCTCGTTTAGGTCGACTCCACTGAAAAATGTAAAACCCTTTGCTCCCTTTCAGTGAGTTGTCCTCCATCAGCAAATCTTGTTTCTGAGAGTGCAGCAATGCCGACGTTTTTAGTGTTTGAATTCGCTTGCAACCTGTGTTGTACATATTTTTCGTTATACAATATAAATCCTGTTATTTAATTTCTTTTTTTCAAAACTTTAAGTCTTTAATTTTTTTCAAATAAAAGAGGGGGGTGGCTAGCCACCCAATGCACCCCCTGGATCCGCCCCTGCTGTGCAGCACCATCCATACTCTCATACTCTGCTGTACAGGAAAAAAAAACCTTGTAATCAGTCAGTACAGGTCACTCCTTTCAGAGTCTTGTGTCTTGCACCCCATCTTGGTATTTCCTCGCTGGAGAGGAATGACTTGGWAACMATTTTTTCACTGCTTGTCGAAAATCACCAAGAAATACCAAGTACACCAAAGGACTAAAGCAAGAATTCATTATTTTCGGCATTCGTAGTAAAACYCTAGCTAATCCATGGCAGTCKTTGCTTAATTCATCAAAGACATTCCAAGAACTGCTTATYAAAACATCCTTAAGAAAATCAGGAAGATAGCATATCGAGTAYAGTAATAATGAACACAGCACCATTCTAACAGCGCTATTGATGCGTCTCGCTCGTCGTTTTCTCTGCGCATCAGATAGTTCAGCTTGAATGGCATTGGACTTGGAAAGTCGTACAGACGTTGCTATACTCAGAGTCAACACCGAGAGGTAGAGGAAAAATATGCAATAAGATCTTAACACAAAAAACAATTTATACAATTTAGATGACTTGAGYTGAACTTTACATTTAAAAGGATCTTCTGACGATGACCTGGAGGCATCCACAAAGAMGCATACGAAACAGGACAGCAACAACGACACAAACCAGGCTGCTACGGTTAAACAACGACTTGAGAAGCTTTGTATTTCGATAATAATTTTAGTAGCTCGGTATCGCTCGATGCTTATGATAAACAATGTAATCAATGTAACGAGTTCTGACATAAATAAAGACCCAGCGAACGCTTTGCACATAAAACTAGCAAGTATTTTTGGTGTGTTGCTCATCTGTTGTAAAAAATTTGATATTTGCAAGGCCACTAACACTACAACGAGAATGTCAGAAACGGCCATGTTGATGATCAGGTAGTGAAGGCCCTTTTTTGCTGTATGGTTTGCAGCGAGTAAGATGATGAGGATGTTTCCAAGAATTCCCAGTCCACCGAATACAATTAGTAACGCCAATTTTACAGTATCAAAATCTCCTTTTTCTGAAATACAGATAGTTGTTTGCCGAGAACCGTTCACGTTGGTTGTATTCATTTCGATATTTAAGGGCATCTTTCCTCCTCAGGAGCTGTGAAGATGTGTTCAAATGCCTTCTAGTAAAGACTTAAAATGTTTAGTGAGCCTGTAATTGCCTTTTATGAAAATGTATTTGTTAGTCTTTTCTTTGTAAATAAATCTCAAATTTTGCGAGAACAGTGCAAATGATTAAAAACTTGTAGTTATTTCAGTCCAACCACCTGCCAGTTGAGTAAAATGGGATAAAATAAGATTTCGTGTTAGTGTAGCAAAACTGAAACTGACTCAAGCAACCTTAATACATTGAAACAACAACCTAGTTCACTAAAACATTGGTAAAAAAGGGAAGCTCATGTTAATCTATGGAATACACTGTTCAGTTGATTCATATWCTGTTGCAATAAAGCATCTGTTGTTGTGCATAAGCTGTCTAACTTYAACTAAACTCTGTAATTGCTCAGAGTTTTAAGCGGCGTTTACACTGGAGCAATTTTTCCTTGACAAGTTTTCCTTGACAAGGAAAAATTGCCTGTGTAAATGGGGTAAAATGGTCAATTTTTCCTTGTCAAGGAAAAGCCAACATGTTATKTTCGCTTTTCCTTGACAAGGAAAACTAATTGTCAAGGCCGAAATTTGCTCGTGTAAATGGACAACAAGGAAAATGTGGCAAGGAAGAATTGTCAAGGAAAACTTGTTGACCATTCACACGGGCAATTTTTYCTTGACAAGGAAAACTTGTTCTTCGTTTACACTAGCAAAGAAACATTGTCAAGGAAGAATTGTTGAGTKAGGAAAACTTGTTRACCATTTACAAGGGCAATTTTTCCTTSTAAAGAAACTTAAGATAAAATTGCTCGCGCAAACGCCGCTTTAAGCAAGTATAGGTCAATGGCTAAATGAATGGATGACATTTCAAAAATGTTTAACAAATATCTTTTGATTTTTCGTAAGCATCTGACCTCAGATACGCATTTTTCGTATAGTTAATTGTCACATTGTCAATAAGTTATTTAATAAATACGCACCGAGTATCAACGAGTTATCAAAAATGCATCACATATATATTTGATTTCATGCAAAATGGCGAGGTACAACTGCTGTGCYGTAAATTTAGTATTTTTATTTGAATATTCTTTGTGTCGAGATGAAAAGTACTGAGATATATTGATATTTCTTGTAGCTTTATTCAGGAAAACTGACAAAAGTTCTGATTCTGATAATTGCAAATTTACAACGAGCAAATCATATATGCTTTCAAAGTTATAATAGCGTCAAAGAAGAACAAGCGGAATTATACATTTTACTGTCAAGTTTCAATTATATTCGTTAAATCCCAAGAAAGTCGATGACGTCATCGATTTTCTTCGATTTTCTTAGGATTWAAATGATTCCAGAAAAAAGAAATAAACATTACATTGTGAATTAAAAAATTAAAGTATCACAACAAAAATTATCAAGCATCCATAGAAAAAAGGCGTGAAGAGATGCCGCGAGATGAGGAAGTAAAACAGCGGTTATTCGCTTTGAAKKCGAAACTGGAGTATTGGTTTCTGATTAATTGGCGTTACCGGGTCGTATCCACTGATCAGCTTTGATGATGAATGCCAAACTGATTCAAATGGAAGTAGGATCCAAAAACCATTATATGTTGTCAGTCCAATGACTAGAGGACAAGGGGCGGAGGGACAAGTGACTATATGTTGTCAGTCAAATGACTAGAGGATAAGGGGCGTAGGACAAGTGTCGATTTACTTCTTCAAATAAATCTTGAAAAAATATTATTTACGTTTACTCTTTTGACGATTGAACGTTTGAAAAATCGATCTCATTTCAGAAATRCTGGACGCTCTCATAAAGAGGTTAAATTTTGTCCGTCAATCATTTATACGCATCTGCTTGCTAATTGAGTGTTTACTAGAAAAACAGTATGTTTTATGGTCACCGAACCGCTAATTATTAGTTTAAAATGCGATCGATGCAAGACAAAGTGAGAAAACATCTAAATCCTGCTGTAAAGCTCTTTYGCTATTTTATCCTCTTGTTATAAGAAAAACAATATGCTTTCAAAAAAAAMTTTTGAGCAAAATGGTATCGTACCACTGAAACATTTAATTTGTTGCCGTCTATTGAACGTTTTAATATATTCATTAACCTTTCTTTTGCCTGGACAATTAACCAGCATGCGAACATCTTGGAACACTTTTCGAATAAAAACACAAATGATATGCATTTTCTCCAATGGATAAATAATTTCAAAACCTCAAAACTTAAAATAGCTTAATTGACTGATGTCTCTGGTGACGCATCTAGATATTAACGATGCTTCTTATTATATGACATTTTCCCCCGAGCTATAGAAGKAGCATGMTGTRGWCTGAYAGGTTTAAAAGCCTGAGACTTCTGCCAGAGGAGGAAAGATGTATTTCAGATGGAGTATCGAGTAACAATGTGTAAAATAAAAGATTATTCGTCAGCGAACAGGCCATCGGTACTGGATGCACTTCAGCAACTACATCAATAATTTATTACAATTTTTGAGATTAAAAAATTGAAAATAAATTGTAATCATTAGTGCCGTCATGTAGCAGCTTTCAAACAATATACACGATGACTTTTATCTGAATATCTAGTCTTTCCCGAGACGTTTATGAAGGTTTCATGTAAATATKTAAGACGTCCATATTTTGTTATTCGAAGGGAAGAGGTTACTTTCATAAGAATTATGACGTCACGTGTACGACAATCATGTATTGTTGTAATGTGGCCAATCACATCACTTTTAGCCATCTGCATGTATGACTAGGACTGTTTTTCAAACTTTTTGTGACATCAGCACTGAGACGTCCTCTTAACGGGAGTATCACTAAGGTAYKTAGATCCTCAACATTTAAACAATTTATTTCCATTTAAAAATAAGRTCGAATATTATGGAATTGATCAAGATGAGAATAAGRTAACGGCTTACAATATTGGCGTATTTTATAACTCACRTGGATCCTCCTCATGTCTTTATTTGGTCTTAATCCATTTTTGCTCTTCTTTTATGAATATAAGCTCTAGACAATGATCAAAGCTCACCATTTAGCCTTTAGACCGATAACAATTCCGCTTATCATAATAGAAATAAACTGAATACAGTATAGAATAAGGAGGACAATCAAATAAAATAACTGCCTCAAGTTGAGCGAAAAAAAAGAAAAGTGCAAAGAAGAAAACATATATTTATCCTATTTTGTTGTTCTTCTTTCTAACGAAGTACGCATTCTGCCTTAGATCGATGTCTCCTCATAGTCATTATTTGTCTTCCAGTCGTCACTAATTCTTCATGCTTTTGTAGTTGTTGTTTTGCTTTGTCCATTTTTCTTTTAACTTGTGAAATTTCGAAAGCAAAAAATTAAAACCTACAGCTGCATGGTATTTTTTTGGCTGCAAAGATGATTGAAGAAAATAGAAAACTCTCAATGATTAGGGAGTGTCATCTTGCTTTAGTTATCGTGAAAATTAATTAGAACGGAGTATCATTGATTAGTCATATATTTATCTTAAAACACAAACATGAAGTCTGAACTAAGTCGACCTTTCGAAGTTTTTTTGAGATATCCAAATGAAAATCTTGTTACCTGCAAAAAAAGTGTAAGCTAAACACTGCTTTAATAAATAGCCTCTAAAACAAATGGTCATTAACGGCTTTTAATTACTTCTACTGCATAAGTATTGAGAATAGGCAAGTCAGGAAATTAAGAACGCCAGCCGGTGTTGTTCATTGATAATCGAATGAGACTTGCAGTCACCATTTTAATTGCAGTCACCATTTTAGACCTTAAAAGGTCTGAGGAAAATGAAAAATGGGGTCATTTAAGATTCATTTAAAATAATACAATGTAATGTATAAAGAATATGAGATGGTAGCCTGCTGAGTATCAGGCTCTCGAAGGGGATTGGGGTGGAGCGA